GCTCTGAAATAATGATGGCGTTCATCTGGAAACTGCTCCAGCGCCTTCTGAGGCGTCTAATTTCATAAAGGGCTTTTATGGGAGGTTTCGGAGCGAGGAGCGATCAGCTTTCCCATTGCTCACAAAGACCAGAATCCCTTTTTTTTTTTTGGGATGCATTTAAATCAAAAGGAAGAAAACACCTGTCCAGCACATTTGCTCAGACCCCAAAGATTTCAGTCAAAATTTTTAATGTTCTTTTTCTTTCCATCTGCATTTTTCAGCAAAGACAAACAGCCTCATAGTATTTCTTCAAAGGAATGTAAATTCCTTGAGGAAGTCTCCGGAGTTCCCAGCCCCGCATAGCTGCAAACCACAGACGCCTACGGCTGAAAGCTCTGCTCTGCTTTTAATTTTGGGGCAGGGAAGGAATTCTTTTCAGGGGTTTGGGTTCACTTGTGCTGGGCCCATCAGGCCAGACTGCTTGTTACTGCACAGGGGAGTGTTGACTTTGGCCGGCTGCACGCAGTTCTTTCCCTCCACAAGAGTATTCCCCCACTGAATCTGATGACACGGCGCAATTATTTCATTAGGATTTTCCAAAAAACGTTCCCTTGGTCTCCTATAGTGCTAGAAAGACGTTTTCCCTCTGCTTTCTTGTTATGGCTTTGGCAGGTTTGCCTGAAAAAATGCAATTAAGGGTGGCAACGCCGCTGCCTGGTTCCAAATCGTTGAGGGGAGGGAGTTGAGAAAGAGCAACCTGGGGGGAAAACTGTGAGTTTTGAAGAGTGTTATTAAATTCCTGGGGGCAAGTGAAGCCTGTGTGTAAGAGCTGCTGCTTTGCAGCCTAAACGATGCCCATTTCTGCTGCGAGCTACCCTTGGAGAAAGCCAGGGCAGCTGCTGCTGAGGTTGAGCAATGGGGGAGAGTGGTGAGACACTAAGGGAACAGTGTCCCCCTTTTTTCTCCTTAGTCTCCCAGGGGAGAGAAGTCCCCTCTCTTGTCCCAGTCCTGCCCCAGTGGCCAAGTGAGCACCCTGCTGCCCTGATCATTTCTGATGATTTGAACTGCTGGAGATGTTTCTGAGAGACACTAATTTTTCCTTTGAAATTAAGAGGTAGCACCTTTTTTTTTTCCACACGATCATTTCTGATGATTTGAACTGCTGGAGACATTTCTGAGAGACACTATTTTTTCCTTTGAAATTAAGAGGTAGCGCCTTTTTTTATTTTTTTGATGCATGACGTTGGAGGAGTTTCTTTTGCTTGGAGAATTAATGACTCATTTGCTTTTCTCCTACTGCTCTGCTGGTCCTGCCCCCTCCACCCTTGGGCAGGAGCGGCCTGTGCCGGGCGACGCGGGTGTTTATTTCTTTCCCCAGATTTACAGCTGTGACTTCCAGCATCCGAGTGACCATGTCCAAGTCTCCACAAGCCTTTTCTTGGCCGCAGCTGGGCGGGCGGCAGACGTGGATGCTGTTCGGCAGCATTAGGCCACAGCTCTGCTTGCACTTAGGAAAATTGAGCTGAAACATTTGTCTTTGGGCTGTGTCAGAAAAAGGCTTTGGCAGAAAAGGCGTTCCTCTGCGCTCCTGCTCCGCTGGGGCCGGTTACACCAGCTAGTGCTGCCGTCACCCAAAATTTCTAAGTTAAAGCCTGTGCTTATTCCCTTCTCTCAGCCAGAGCAGCTCTACTGGTCCTGAGCTGGAGTCCGGGTGGGAGCACGTGGTCTTGAGTACGTTGCCAGTCTTGCCTTTGAGGGAATGTTGAGGGTGGTGGGGGTCTGGGGCCAGCTCTGCTCGGGGGGCCAGGGGTCCCTCACCTTGCTGGGATACAGGGTCACCAGGACCAAAGTACCCTGGTTTCCCTGTGCTCAGGCCCCTGCGTTGTGGAGGTGCCCTCCCATTCCCAGCAGGACACAGGGAGCCCACAGGGAGAGGAAAATCAGCCTTTGCCGCTTGCAGCACATGGAGCTTCCTGAAGCCTTGGGAAAACCTTGGATATTGGCTGGGCAGTTTACGAAGGTGGCAGTGGCAGGGCTGTAAAAGCTGATCAGGACCTTCAGTGATGTGCCATCAGCGTTCACCCCTGCAGCCAAACAGCTCCAACTGCTCCCGGGGCTGTCGTCAATCCCACCGCTCGGAAGTGTCGCTGTGAACACAACACCCCTGCCCAGTAGGTTCGTGGTCTGTGCCTGGGGGGAGCAGCCTGGCATTTCCCATCATTTGGAAATAATTTTCCATTGTTATCAAATAATACGGGATCCTTCTGATTTGCTTCCCCCCGCGCACAGCGACAGCCCCCCGCACCGCCTCAGTGTGACTATTGTTCGGTTGCTGATTAAGCCGAGCGCACCCAGCCCCGGTGGAAAGTCCTTTGTGGAAAGAGGACCTTGATAAGATACTCGTATCTGCTCTGTCCCGGCTGTGCACGGGCAGTTAAAAAGTAAATAACAGGGACAAACAGGCTGTGATGTACGGGCGGGGGAAAAGATTTCCAATGCCATCAGGGATTTCACGGATCGGTACGGTTTGAGAGGCTTAAAAAGAGATATGCTTTCCAAGAGTACACATGCTTTAAAAGCAGAGCCCCTGTATACAGTATAAATAGTATTTTCATTAGCAAGTAGTTAAAATTCTGGTTGAATGCTTTCCTTTGGTCCTAGCAGGAGAATTTGCAGCTCTGGATGTTGGCACTGCAGGAGATTGTGGGGTCTGAGACTGGTGCAGGACAGGGCAGGCTGCGGAGCCCCCTCAGCTGCTCAGACACCTCCATTTCACCTGCCAAGCCCCGAAACGAGAGCCTGGAAGGGCACAAAAAATTGCCATTTGTGTCAAGATGTGTCAGAGTGGGAGATTTTTCTGCTAGTAAATAAAAAGCAGCAAGATTTCCAGAAGCCCGTGGGGCTCTGCTCAATCCAGACACAGGCGGCTGCAGCCCCACAGAGCTCCCCGGGTACCAAGATCCTGCACCCTCAGATCCTGATCCCCACGGGAGTAGCTGTGGGGACACTCGCAGCCCTCAGAGGCGGCTGCTGGGAGGTGCCACAGGTGTCCTCCCTCTCCTAAATTGCACTCAGTTAATTATTGCACAGCAAGGTTTTTAGCCCGGGAGCTGCACGGCAGCTCTGAAATAATGATGGCGTTCATCTGGAAACTGCTCCAGCGCCTTCTGAGGCGTCTAATTTCATAAAGGGCTTTTATGGGAGGTTTCGGAGCGAGGAGCGATCAGCTTTCCCATTGCTCACAAAGACCAGAATCCCTTTTTTTTTTTTGGGATGCATTTAAATCAAAAGGAAGAAAACACCTGTCCAGCACATTTGCTCAGACCCCAAAGATTTCAGTCAAAATTTTTAATGTTCTTTTTCTTTCCATCTGCATTTTTCAGCAAAGACAAACAGCCTCATAGTATTTCTTCAAAGGAATGTAAATTCCTTGAGGAAGTCTCCGGAGTTCCCAGCCCCGCATAGCTGCAAACCACAGACGCCTACGGCTGAAAGCTCTGCTCTGCTTTTAATTTTGGGGCAGGGAAGGAATTCTTTTCAGGGGTTTGGGTTCACTTGTGCTGGGCCCATCAGGCCAGACTGCTTGTTACTGCACAGGGGAGTGTTGACTTTGGCCGGCTGCACGCAGTTCTTTCCCTCCACAAGAGTATTCCCCCACTGAATCTGATGACACGGCGCAATTATTTCATTAGGATTTTCCAAAAAACGTTCCCTTGGTCTCCTATAGTGCTAGAAAGACGTTTTCCCTCTGCTTTCTTGTTATGGCTTTGGCAGGTTTGCCTGAAAAAATGCAATTAAGGGTGGCAACGCCGCTGCCTGGTTCCAAATCGTTGAGGGGAGGGAGTTGAGAAAGAGCAACCTGGGGGGAAAACTGTGAGTTTTGAAGAGTGTTATTAAATTCCTGGGGGCAAGTGAAGCCTGTGTGTAAGAGCTGCTGCTTTGCAGCCTAAACGATGCCCATTTCTGCTGCGAGCTACCCTTGGAGAAAGCCAGGGCAGCTGCTGCTGAGGTTGAGCAATGGGGGAGAGTGGTGAGACACTAAGGGAACAGTGTCCCCCTTTTTTCTCCTTAGTGTCCCAGGGGAGAGAAGTCCCCTCTCTTGTCCCAGTCCTGCCCCAGTGGCCGAGTGAACGCCGTGCTGCCCCGCTCTGGTCCCAGCTGCCCCATACGTGTGCCTCCATGAGCCACTGTGCCCAACATCCAACATCAGAATGGTGTCCAACATCAGGATGGTGCACAGTCCGTAGAGAGAAGGGCAACAGAGCTGGTGAGGGGTCTGGAGAGTAAGTGTTATGAGGAGAGGCTGAGGGAGCTGGGGGTGTTCAGTCTGGAGAAGAGGAAGCTGAGGGGAGACCTTCTCGCTCTCTACAACTATCTGAAGGGAGGGTGTAGAGAGGCAGGGGTCGGTCTCTTCTCCCAAGACACAGGAGATAGGACATGAGGAAACGGCCTCAAGTTGCACCAGGGGAGGTTCAGGCTGGATAGTAGGAAAAATTTTTTCACTGAAAGGGTTATCAAGCATTGGAATGGGCTGCCCAGGGAGGTGGTTGAGGCACCATCCCTGGAGGTGTTCAAAAGACGAGTTGACGTGGTTTAGTGTTGGGTTTGGGTTTTTTTTTTGTCAGAGTTGGGTTGATGGTTGGACTAGATGATGTCGAAGGTCCCTTCCACCCCAGGCGGTTCCGTGATTCTGTGCCTGGACCCGGGCTGCGTTTGGGGCAGCCCGTCGGGAGCTGGTCTGGCTGGGGACGGGAGCGAGGGGGGACAGCGGCCGGGCAGGGTGCGGGGTACGGGCCACCGGACGGTACGGGCCGGGGC